CACACTCTCTCACACACACACACACACACACACACACACACACTTATACTCATTCACACACACACACACACACACTCTCTCACACACACACTCTCTCACACACATACCCTTGGAAAATCGACCCTATGTTAGTATGTTTATTACTGTAGGTTGTTTGGCATCTTGTTCTGTCAACTGTACAGTTTCCTGTTTATTTGCTGAAGAAAAGCTTTTGATAAGGTTTTTTTAATTTTTTTTTTTACCTAATAAAATTCATAATCAACAGTTTCCATTCAGTCGGTTCACTCGGTACAACACATGACTATGGGATATCGCGCTCTTGCCGCATTTGCTGAAGACATCTATATTCACGCCTGATGATGCATGACTACCTGCCCACAGCATATAAATGCAGTCGCATGCGTCATTTCCTTCGTTCTTCAGCTCTTCACCGTGCTGCTAGAACACCTTCACACCACGTTCACAGGAGAAAGCCCACGGTGGTGATCCTTGTTGAAACTAAGGCAAAAAAAAAAAAAGCTGCCTGCTTTTCAGGAAGCACAAATCCCGGCTTCTCCCTTGCTCTCTGAAGCGGCGGCTGGTAGCGAGACAAGGAAGGATCCCTTCATGGATCCTTACCGGAGAGCAGCGGAAAAGTTGTCGGTGGAATGGCCTGCCCCTGCACCGGTACAGAAGAGCTCGCTCGACAGTAGTGAGAACCCGCCTGCCGCTTTATCCGGATTGTGTAGCGGAGCTCACGTCTTTGTGGCCGAAGCCCATGTCACCCCTCCTCCAGGGGTGTCGGATGTCGGCCCCCACACTGGAGCATTCTCTGGCTACATACCTGGCGCCCATGCAGAATAGTGGTAGCGCAGGTACCCCACTCTCCCGACAGGCCCTTGCCGCTTCTCGTTTAAGCTGCTGGGCAGGATTTACAGTGAGCAAGCCTGCGCAACCAGAGCATTGAGCTCTGTCTTTGCTGCAGACTTATTAAGCCATCTGCTTGGGAGAGCAGAGCGAGGCCGTGTCAGCAGGGAGTGTTATGGGGGAAGTGCGTTCCATGGCCGATTACATTCTGTGTGCAACCCGTGGTGTGCTGGTGTCATTGGGCCATGCTATTGCCGGTACTGTGGTGGCGCAGTGACATCTTTGGCTGACCCTAGTGAACCTGCCTGAGCGGGATCGGAGTGCGTGCCTCAGCGCCCCGATCTCCCAGTCCGGGCTCTTCGGAGAAGGCCTCGGCGTGTTTCAGGCGCGGTTTGAGGACTCTAAAAAGCAGGTGGAGTCGCTGAGGGGGTCAGTGCTGAGGAGGTTCCGCA